ATTAAAGTCAGTCAAAGGTTATTAAAATTGTTTTTGATCGATTAAAAACATGTAAATGAATGGGTTATCATTCATTAACAACTTTGATGAAGATGTTTAGGAATTTAATGTTAACTTAAGAATCTTCACAATAATGCGGAGATAACGGTTTTAGAACTAACAAACTGATTAAACTGATCCATTTTTTAAAAGTTTGACTATATTACCTCATCTTCACTGTCAAAAAGCATTGTTGATCGGCTTTTATTCTTAAACACTGAAGAAGAATGTTATGAATGTTTTATCCAGATTAGTTTTAATTTGTTTTCAACGGACGTGCACTAATTAGTTTTTAGCATTGGACTGATTTATCTGTACGCATTATTTTTAATAACTGTTGTTAGGTCATAGTATCAGGAGTTAGCAATAGTTTACTTGGGTACATATTTAAGGAAAATGTAATGAACCGGGTTGATAAAACAGCAGAGCGAAAGAAAACATGTCACAGGTTATAATTTCTTGGTTGTCAACAAACCTTTAGTTAAAGCTATGGATTTAGTCGCTCACTCAAATGTATGTATACTCTTTATGGATACATACTGTAAATGAACCAGATCCAAAATATTCGAAACTAGAGATTAGCTATTCATCAAACAGTATGAAAAACCCACCAAGCGTAACGCAAATATATATATATATATATATATATATATATATATATATATTCCCAATGTGCCATCAATGAAAACTAAATAACAATAATATGCTCGTTTACTCTGAAAGGAAGCCTAAATAAGCACTTTTGGGGTTTTTTTCTGAAATTTGACCTTCAATACAATTCACATGTACATTATTCTATTATGTGACAACCATTATCATCCAAAATAGAGACCACTTCGTTTAGAGTGTAAAATTTTATAGAAAATGGTGTTGACCTAAACAAAGTATCAAAAAGTTAATGACTAGTAATTTGACTTAAATCGGTAGGATATAATCACTTCTAATCCTTAGGTCAAGGTTTTTATGTACTATACAGTTATACATATGACTTATCATAAATCTTCAAGGAATTAATTTTTTTCTGTAGGATTCTAGCCCTTTAGTTATTGTTTAAAAGTCTGTAATGGTATCAACGCTATGCTTGAGTTGCGGTAAGATTGTAGTAGAAGTGAAATCAAACTACGTTCAATCAATAAAAGTTTTTAGCCATATTGCGCATGCTTGTGCATATATGAGATCGAGATAGTACATGCACACGTATGCACAATATGGCTACAACTTTTATTGAAGCTAAAAAAGCATTGGACAACTAGGAAAACAACATTACAAAGGTTCGATACAGACCTCCTTCAAGATACTGACAAACTCAACGAATTCAAGACAGATCTCAGCAACAAGCTACAAACCTTAAAAGATCTACTCGAAGGAGAGAAAAATACTATGGAGAACAATGCGAAAGTCATCAATGAAGCACTAACTTCGACGTGTAAGAAAGTGTTGAGACGCAAGACGCATCATCATAAAGGATGGATCTCTATAGAAACTCTTGGCAGCACCTATGAAAAGAATAACAAGAAGGCAATAATAAACAACTATCTGACAAGAACAAAGAAGGTCAAGGCACGGTTCTAGTATGCAGAAGCAAATAAGTCGGTGAAGAGGAGTATTAGAGCTGACAAGCATAAATATGAGGAAGACCTAAACAGGATAGAGGAAAAAGCTGCAAAAGTAGGAAATATGAAACAGCTATATGACACGACGAAGAAACTAGCAGGGAAATATAGTAAACCGGGGAAGCCAGTCAGGGATAAAGAAGGGAAGACAATCACTGAAATTCAAGAACAGAGTAAAAGATTAGTACAATACTTCAAGGAGTTGTTGAATGCACCAGCTCCATTGAATCCACCGGACATCGCAGCACACACAAACCTTCTTATAGATGTCATTCCACCAACGACGGAGGAAATCATGATCGCCACTAGACAAATCAAGAATGCTAAAGCATCGAGACCTGATAACATATCACCCAAAGCACTGAATTCAGATATAGAAGTAACTACAAACATACTCCACACTGTATTCAGGAAGATTTGGGAGGAGGAACAAGTTCCAATGCACTAGAAAAAAGGACACTTCATCAACACACCAAAGAAAGATCTGAGCACGTTAGAGAACTGCAGAGGCCTCACATCACTATCGGTAACAGAAAAACTCAACACAGTATTGCTGAAACGGATGAAAGATTCAACAGATGCAGAACTTTGAGACCAGTAGTCTGTATTCCGTACGGATCGGCCGTGAACAGACCAAATCACGACACTACGGATCATCGTTAAGCAATCAATAGAAAGGAATTTGTCAGTATTTATAAACTTCCTTGACTGTGAGGAAGTGTTTGACAGTTTGAATAAGAGTATGTTGTGGATCCTTCTTTCAACCCATGGTGTACCTGAAGAGGTCATCAATATCACGTGGAATTCATACGACGGACCACAATGCAATGTCGTGCAAAGAGGATGGCAGACAGATACATTCCAAGTAAAGACTGGAGTCAGATGAAACTCTTTACTCTACCCCTTTCTCCTTCTTCTGCTGATTAAGCGAATTATGAAGACCTCCTCATCTGAGGGTAAACAAGGAATACAATGGATAGCTTGGATGCAACTAGATGATCTGAACGTTGCAGATAGCCTAGCTTTTCTATCCCATACACACCAACAAATACTGGTCAAGACAACCAGTGTAGCAAAGCCTCTGCATCAGTAGAAGGGAAAATGCAAGATCTTTAAATACAACACGGACAACATCAACACAACCACATTTGATGGAGGAACTCTGGGAGATGTGGAATGTTTTACGTGTCTGTGTAGCATCATCGGTGAACATGGAGGATCTGATGCAGACGTAAAGGCGAGGATTGGCAAAGCAAGGACAGCATTCTTACAGTTGAAAAACATATGGAACTCAAAATAACTTTCTACCAATATCGAAGTAACAATCTTTAACACGAGCATCAAAACAGTTCAACTGTACGGATGTGAAACGTAGCGAACTACTACAACCACCATCAAGAATATACGAGCATTTATAAACCGTTGTCTACATAAGATACTCAATATCCTTGAGCCAGATACCATCAGCAGCAGTCTACTGTGGGAGGGTGCAAATCAGCTTCGAACTGAAGAGGAAATTAGGAAAAGTCGTTTGAAGTGGATTGGACCTACTTTGATGAAATCACCAAACTGCCTTACGAGGCAAGCGGTAACTTGTAATTGTGAGGGGAAATGGAAAAGTGGGATGCCGAAGAACACACTACGTCTGGAATCGGAGGCATACTCGAAAAGGATGAATGTTAACTGTATGTTATTAAATCCTAGTGAAGGCGTAAGTACAGGTAACTTCCAGGATCTATTAATGAACTATTATTCTATATATATTCTTACTGTTTAACTAAGTAAGTGGATTGTGTATATCTTTATTCATCTTATTTCAAGCTACGTTTTGACCTATAGATTATTATTTTTATTATACGATTCACTGTCCGTAAATTATATTCAGTTTATTGATCATTGTCTGCCATGTTCACAGATATATTTGGCTTGAACCTGTACAAATATTATTTTCTATTTTATGGCGTGATGCTCTCTGCCTGTCTTGTATATAAATCGAGTGTGCTTGATATAAATGATTCGCATAACAGAAGCTGTAATTGGTGTTCTGGACTCAATTGGAAGAGCTAGGTGGACAATAGATCAATAAGGACGCTAGACTGCTGGTACCAGTTGAACGTCATTGACTTGGCACAGTGTCAAGATTAGACAAGTCGCATTTCGATTGGCGGATAACTCACGTGATAAAAGCCGTACATAAAATCGTAGTGAATCGGCATACGGCTTCTTCTTTTTTAAAGTCATAACAGAAAGAAATGTTAAGGTATGCCCTGATCAGAGTTGAATGGGGAGTCCTTATAGGCTGTCTATTCTCTTCCACGGGGGGTAACAGATGTAAGTAAGTCATGTGTATGTAAGCATGTATTACTAAGGTGTACTCAAATTTGACAATAACTACTGAATAATAATCAATCAGTACTGAAAAGTGTTTAATAATTTCTCCTGATACCACCAGAACTATCTTACTTTATCAATTGTGAACCTAAATCCGACTTACTTCATGTGACTTGGAGTGATCTAAACCTGTCTTATCCTTATTAAAGTTGAGCTTTTATGTAGATTTCAGTACTAATCTTTCATAATTGAGTATGATTGAACAAACGCATAACAAATTTGGTGCGCTTTGAATTCCTTTAGGATATGTCTGTTGCTTCAAAATGTTTACTTAGTGTTTCAAGCAGCCTCCGAAGTAAAGATGTATCACATTTATCAGCATACTACTGACAAAATATCATTAGTACTGACCCCTTATTTCATAAAAAATGTTTAAAAAACTTACGTATCATAATATCTATTTGATAGCTTGCATTTCGTTTCCTAAATGATTTGATTCGGTTAATAAGTTTTCATACATATTATCATCATATTTTGCGGCTACAGACACTGCATGGTTAACCTACATAGCATGTTTAAATTAGATGTGGTAACATATTGTATGTCAAAGACAGTTCAGATAATTGGCTATTAGGTACATATAAACCAGTTTATCAACCATCACTCTTAAATGTTAAGTATACTTATTTCATTTAAAACGTGTGATACAGGTATTCTATTACCAAGTTCATTTGTTTGAATACATATGTTATGGTTCTTTCAAAAAATACTTTAACTTATATTAACTAAAACGTTAATTGGAAACTTACTCGTGTATCTTTTTCCAAATCGTTGAGGTATAAAATGACGTCTTATTCTATAGCGATCATATAGTTCTGAATCTTTTAGTTTAGATTTGACAAGTTCCTCAGAAGGATCCTCACCATAATATGCAGGTAAGTTGGGATAGTTTTTTAACTCGCATTGTGCCGAAAAGTGACTAGTCCAAGCAATCAATATAATAGTAATCTTTGACACATAACCAAGCATTTTTTTTAAATCTAAATTAAAAAGAGATAGGGGAATTCCGATGATTTCATAGTATTTTACGATGTAAAAGTTAACTGCAATTTAGTAGGTCGAAAGGTCTACGAACTGATTGCAATGAAGCAGGAAACGTATTCATCCGGGCACTTATATGTCTGGCATGGAAGGTCAAGAATTATTGGAATGCATTTTGATGACATAAAAGTATTTAGTAATTTTATCAAAAGAACTCAGCACTTTTTGAAATAGTTGGTAAGTGCTAGCTGCATTTTTGTGCTTTTCTGTTTAAAATAAAGCTCAAACTTAAAAAAGATATATGTCTGTATACGAATGAAACAGGTTCTCTGATAATATTCAGAACTATCGACTCTATTGCTGTTACAGGGAAACTAAGCGAAGAGGTGGTTGTCTTATATATGCTCTGGATTCCCTAGCAACTAATAAAGTTGAAGACAGTGTCCTGAGTAGTTTACCTGAATTGGTGTGAATATTATTAAACACCCTGAATCATTGTCTACTGATGGGATATTGTGAATGGTATAACGTGAATGATCTTATTGTTAACGCCTTAATACATGCATCTGCTCTAAACTACAATGATGAATTCTCATCAACCGTTAACATGAGTGCTGGTCACATTGAAATCACCCTAACAAGGGGTGATAATATACTTGATCTAATATTTTGTGGAAATATCATTCCACTATCTGTACAAGTATATAATGAATTTGGAAGCTTTGACAAGAAAATTATAGTTAATGCTCTCCCTATCTCTCCCTCTTATAATCAACTCATACAAAACCCTCCAAAAGGCAGATTATAGACATGTTGACTGGGAACTCCTGCACTCCCTGATAAAATTCTCAGACTGATATGCTTTCTCAAGTAATGGCCTTTTGGATACCATTGACATATTTTATATGATTGCTAACTCGTTTAGATTCCTTCTCCCACTTTGATTTCTTTAGTTTAGTCTTTACTCAACGCAACCGAGTAAATCTAGTCTTAGTGCTATACTTTGACATTTCCAAAGCTTCCGACATGATTAACCACCAGCTTCTTATGAGCAAACTCGCATCTTACTTGGTTTAATGCATTCCTTAGTCACCGATACCAAATAGTCAAATTAACTCCTCCTTTTCGGATGCTGTCCCAGTAGAAAGTGCTGTAATACAAGGTAGTGTCGTGGGTCCTTTGCTCATTTTAATCTATATAAATGGTGTTTTTGGTTTTTTTTGTATGGGTAAGCCTTCTGTAAATGCAGTTAGTCTAAAAATAATGTATTCATTTCCTCCTAATGTACTGAAAAATGTGCAAAATTGTATCAGTATGGAGTTCCAGTGGTGCTCAAAATGGCAGTTGGAGCTTAACGCGGCTAAATGTGGATAGGTGGGCTTCGGTAATACGTCCCTCAACTTAGATCTTACCTTAAATGGTAAGGTGTTATCTAAATTACATAGAGTGGTGGATTCGGGACTTAAGTACTAATACAATTTATCCCTCACGGAACAGGTCTCGAAACAGACCTCCATGTCTCTGCATCTTATTGGTTACATAATTCATAACCTCTTTAACAGCGAGTCACTTATTTTGATGCATAAAGTATGTGTTTGACCACTCATAGAATAGTGCACGTTTATTCTTGATGATGTTCGCATAAAGGTAAATTAAAGTTGAAATGCATTCAGAGACGATTTACACTTTACATTCTTGGGACTGACTGTACCTTGAATTACAAGTCTAGATTTAATCAACTAGAACTGAACCTTTTACGGAAGACAAGACTCAAAGTCAGTCTAATCTTACTTTTAAAACTACTTAATAAACTATCCTTCGCATTCAATAAATTAATTAAATATGCAGAAACTCCTAGATACAGCATCTGTAAATCCTTGTCATTATTGAAAGAAACGCATTCTAAATCATCGCTCTACATGAATCACTTTGTCAGCAAATTTCCTAGACTCTGGAATAATCTTCCACAATCTGCCCGTAAGATAAACTCACTCCCATTCCTTGTTTGCTGCATTGATACTTACTTCTCCTCTGAAAATGTATTAAATGTCCCAGCACCTGTAAGTGTACCTTATTTCCCAAGTGAGTTTAAATGAAATTTACATGTTTAGCCATTTATTATTACTGAATCCACTAAGTAAACAGACCTACCTGCTTTTACTTCACAACTACACCGTCCCTGATAGCCTTAACTAAGTTGAATAATATCTAACCTGAATAGTCGATCATAACATGGCTTGACACGTGTTATGGAAGACCTGACTAACCTATCGTACTAATTATTAACATTTTTTGTCCCGTGATCTCCGCTTCATTTTCATTTTCTCTTGTTGTAGGTAGTTATAATCAATTCGTTATGGCTCAAGAAATGACGTTGAATGCACCGTACGTGTAACAACAGAATGCCCACCTAACAAAAATAAAAGCTCTCAGCTGATGCATTCTATGCGTGTTAGAAATGTACTACTTAAACAATTTTTGAACTAGAACACTTAATACAATCTAACATCACATATCTGTCCCCTAGACTTAGTATTACTCTCTATATCTATCATGCCTGAAAACTGGCATGAGTTCTGCAATTATTATTTTCAGAATATATATTGTTAGTAGTATTGTTATTATCATTAGTAAAATAAAACAGAATAGCAACCCAGAGATTAGACACATCTTGTTCACTAATAATCTTTTATTTACACCCTCCATCATTACTGTACATATATTTGAACTAATTAAACTTTTATACAACATTATCACATGAATAAAATTTTTTTCATATTTGTATAACACATATTCGTTAGTGTAAAACAGTTTAATAGTTATGCTTCTGATAGATTCCAAATCAATGATAGAATTGAACGAAACCGAAAATGAGTTTCTACTCGACTTTATTTATACCTTAAAAAACACTTCAGCACTTTCACAAACATATTCATTCATCGAAATTATTCAACGTTAATATGTAAGTTTAATTTCACGTCGAAGTTTTCGTAAATGTCAATAAACAGATCAACATTATTTCACTTTTCAGTTTGAAGTGGGCACTAATTTCATGGAAAAAAATTGGGACAAATCAAATTTTCCGTATCAGGAAACCTTCTAGGGTGTTAATTTTTACATAAAAAAGGAAGCAGATACATCATATTCTTTGAAATTAGAAAACCTACTAATAAAATATGAAATTTAATTTAGAACATAATTAGATCCCAATTCCTCTTTTTGTTTAATCTAGATAAATAAGTATCATAATTTGTTTTCACTTTAATGGATCTGGCCGGAAATATTTTTGATTATCTTACACGGAAAAATTTGTTTACACCAGTAGGATTTTCTGTTTGTCATTGAATTGAATACATGAATTTTTGTATATTTTAATCTCTTTTTATTTTTTTTCTCTGTGTTTTAAGCTGGTTTTATTAATAAAGCGTACTTTCTTAGTTTATTGTTTGCTATGGTTTTATACAATAAATCGTTAGTCAATGAAACTCAACAAACACCAGATAACTTTTTCTTTCTCAGTTAAAATTCTTCAGGAATTCCAACCCCACTAAAATGAGGCATCTATTGATTATTCGCTAATTTTTAATTGGTTTACTGGCTCATGGTATAATATAATTTTCAAAACTAAACAGTTTTGTTTAAGCTAAGCTATAATTTGAAATAGGCTGGAGAATAAGAGCTAGTTCAAATTAAACACTACAATCGGTTTTCTTAATATTGTGTTTTCCAAGCAAAGTGGTCTATTTGTGTATCCTTCATTGTTGCTCTGAGTAACAACAACACTTAAATATGAACTTTTTATTAATTCCATTAAAGTTAAATGAGTTCTTTCGATAACAGAAATGCAAGGACAGACATAAACAATGATGTCTATGTTGACAAATATTCACAAATGATTTCATCACAAAGAACCAATTAATTATTACAAGAAAACTGAAGTAGTGGGACTACGTTGAAAGCTGTTCAATCTTATCAACTAGCTAGAAGAACACATATTAGTAGAGGTATCTATCTGAACTACAAATCATTTCAATCCTTTAATTTGCTGAATGAGTTATTCATATTCTTAATTTGAAAGAACAAAACAAAATGTAATATTTAAAAAAAGACCAAGACAGTATTTATTATCAAGTCACTATCGAAATTCAATCAATTTAAACTCTCAATGACTTGGGAATTTCAAAACTTTCTATACAGTTTTTTTAATTATTATGAATTTGTTTGATTATAACAGTTTCAATCAATACTGATCAATATTATTTATTATTTGAGTATATATTCTGGTTGCAAATGACAATTAATTTTTAACTTATTTTTGGTGAAATATCAAAGTGTACTGGTGTATTTTCTCTGGAAAAATTTTGTTGATCATGAATTTAAACAGTTTAAATGATGAACCGGAACAGAAATAAACAGCATCAACTTATGATATAAAATGAATAAACCATGTGTAATTAGGATTAAATCATTATAACTACCAATTAAGAAATAAATTAATGTTGTTTAAAAAATAATTCAAAGTGTAATTAAACACATGAATAAAATACTTATCATATCAGTCATCATTGTTCTAAATAAGGTGAACCTTTGGTCAACGTACGAATGTTTACAACGACATGAAATGTTATTTCTTTTCAAAAACGTTGAAAATAACTAATTAATTATGTAATAACAGATACAGAAATTTACTAAACATCGACACATATAAAATTACTGCTTGGACCCCAAAGAATTTATCAAAATATACATTTATTATTACTTAATTTTATTCACGTAACCCTATTAAGTTTTAAATGAGGGTTTATTTAATACGTAAACATAAGACCAGGTTGTTAAAATTACAGTTTATCATAACTGGTTTTCTAACCGGAATCAGTGTGCGATAAAAATCGTATTCAAACTGTTGCAATGTGTTTATTTGTAAATTATTCACGTTGAAAAATTATGCATTCATTAATTTGTAAGCGAAGGGCTTCACGTTACGCCTAATTTCAATCAGGTCTTAGAATTGATGCTGTAAAAGTATTTGAAATTGTGGTTTTAGGGAATAAATGTGTTAATTGTCATATAACTATAGTTTTTATAACTCATATTTTCACGAAGTTTAAAGATCGTTTCCAAAATTTAATTATGAAACATCTTTTTCTAAAACCATGATATAAAGCTGATATATATATATATATATATATATATCACAGGATTATAATAAACACTTGATAATTATCATTAAAAACAATTTAAGTGTTTTGGGTGCCTGCAGGTAATAGATTCAAATGAAAAGGTTTTGATAAATTAATCAATCGGAAAATCAGAAAACTAATGAAAGGAATCTTTGAAAATAGACATTTGATTAGTTTCTGAAATCATCTATCTATTTAAATTATAAATTTAAATTGAGTAGCACTGTAATAATGAGAATGTTTGCATAGTTACACGTTTATACTATGGTAGTAAAATTTTCGAGAACATGAACCACCTGCTTTTTACTCCTCAACGTTAAATTTCACTATATTTTTCATTCAGTGAATCTTTGTATAAGTTTATTTGATAATTTAAACGAAAGGCCAAAGTTCCGATATCGTTAGTATAAAAACTAGAACCAATAGATTCTATTAAGTTTTCAAATTCTCCTAAAAATACATAAAGTTAGTGTTATATTATCAGGCATCTAGTTAATAGTCAAGCGATTTCTAGAAAACATTTACAAGCTGGTTTGTTACAAAGTTAAATTTTCTAGAATCTTGCCTTTATGCATTTTCAAAATAATGAACCTCTATAACAATTTCATAGGTTATTCTAACTAATTTGGTCTAAAGTATGTTTACTTGTTGTAATGACCTATAATATTGTTTCAAAGTTGTAAAAAACCGATACAAATCCATGAGATGAGTAAATTTACATTATCTTACTACGTTCGTTGTTATTGTTTTGTTGAAAGTTAAGTTTCTTTGTGCATACTTCAATAATCGGTGTGATAAATTTATTACTTATCCAAGAAAAAGGGTAGTTAGAAAGAATCTAGATTAATATAAACGAATAAAAACGGTATACCGTAATTGTCATAAACTTTTTCAACAGATTAATTAATTGATTATTCAAGTAATCTGGACTTTACCATTTGATTTATTGAAAAGGACTTTGAGCGAATATTGCTGGATATTTTCTTTTTCAATTTTAGTTAGTCTTTCAAAAAATTTCAATTGACCGCTAAAACGTTTTAAAAGTCACATACAAAGTATCTTTTAATTTATCAGTACATAGGTTTATTCATGTTAAGTCATAAATCACTTAGCATTAATTTATTATTACGAAACTAAGGAAATTTTCAAAAAACGCATTCGTTAGAGCATGCTACGAAAATTTCGAAAGTATTGCAATGATAATGACAGTTCCGACTACTGAAAGCGAAATCTGATCTGCGTCTTGTCATATAATACAGTACTACTTTCTACGGTATGTGCGTAGCAATTGAATCAATATAAAGAATTACTCAAAATATATCATTTCCTTACTATCAACAGCAGAACAGTTATTTTCCTTAGTATTTACTTTTCTAATAATAATAATAAATATCTACTTACGTAAATTATATCCTATTCAATGTATCTATTTACCGAGACATAAATGGAGAAGTTTGTTTCATTCCCTTTCGTGATGCAATGTCATTTTGTTTCTGAAGCTGATGAAATGTATCTGAGAACCTACAAACACGTCTCAAAATTTAATAAACTGTCAGAACTTTGTTGCAGAAACTAGTTACTTCATTTAAATTTCAGGATTTTTATCTGAGTAATCATGTAAAAATCGCACACACAGAGTGACTATTTTAAGTTAATAACCAGCCTACTAAGGAACTGGAGAAAGAGATGTTAACCTTAACACTAACATTCCTAATAATTACACTAATGTGGATTATTGTATCCTCGTTTGAATCAACCTAGATTATACCGGTTTTATTCCTTTTCAAATAATTACAGTGATCACGTCTCACCTATTTTTCACTGTTTAAACCGTGAAATTCCTCAAAATTATTATTTTTTAACCTCCTCGTCGTCAAAAATTACATTAGCAGTTCGTAATCAGACAAATATAATTACATCTTATATCAAAGCGCTTGAAAATTGCCACATAGCTAATTTGCCCCAAAAAGAGTACGACATGGAGTGCGATACAATTAATGCTGGAAGATAAGTCCCATGACGTTGACTTGTGATCGACTTTTTCGGTCAAAATGGTTGAAAAATGACTTTCAAGGAAAGATAGGAATAATGGTTTCTTAATCTATGTCAATGAACTACAACGTTAGCGACTCAGCCCCTCTTCTTTTGGACAGAACATATATCAGTATTGACCATTCAATGTTATGCGCCAAGATTGATAAATCATATATAGTGTAAAGCATCTGTTAAGAATTGCGGCTTTGGATCATCAGTAGATTACCTCTGTTCATTAGTTACTTTTTGATGAGATGCATAATTAAATTAGCTTCATAAACAGTTGTTCTTTGATGCCAGTATCACGAGCTAATAATTTAGATACCCTTCAGTGTTTTCATAAATCAAGAATTTTTCAAGTCGGTTGTATCTTCAAAAACTAGAATATAAAATTTCTCCAAAACAATTTTATTACTAAGGTTTATCGACAATTATATAGTTTTTATTTAACTATTCCTGCAAAACACTATTCTGATGTCCGTCAAGGTTAATCGATTCCTGTGTATTTTATATTATGGTGAATAATACAAAGTTACAGTAGGATTATTATACATAAGAATAACTTTGATAACTCACTCAGTGTTTAAAGTAAAACTGTCTAGCAGTCGGATGGTTTTCAGTGACACTGACTGTTTGTCGAAAACAATAATTAACTGACCAGAGTTGTAGATTCAAGTAATCATATTTTGACCTGCTCACTTTGATACTTGGAGATTAATGAATTACATTATTGGGGCGAGCTATCAAAGAGCCACACACTGTTGGGAAACAATGGCATACTGCTTTCTAGCCGTAGTTTTTACCAGTAATAGAAATTCTATGAAAAACCCCATTACACAACTGAATTAAACTTCAAAACCAACTAAACAAATATTTTTATGTTGGACATAACTTAGACCCTAACAGTCAAAAATTTTACTGCATGAAAGCTTAAATGTCTGCACATATGCAAACTAACTATCAGGCTAGCTTATTTCACATTTTTGTACTATACTTTTAGCAAAGTCAGATATAAATGAGAGCTAAATTTGTAAGAAGATCTCAATTAAAGCTTAATTATCACTATTTTTATCCCTACAAATAAATAATTACTAAGGCTTTGGTCAGTGATTTGAAAAATAACGTTTTCTTTTCAGCAAAATAAAGACAATGTTCCTTTTTAACAATAAACAAGAAAGCTATTTAAAACCATGTATAAATTATTAATTATATGACAAAATTATATATATATATATACTTAGATATGTTTAGATGTGTATATGTATGTCATTTTCCTATTATACACATCTGTCGTAACTACTTTTGATTGTTAATATACATACATCAATTTAAAGAGTAGACAATTAAGGTTTCTCGGTCACGTCAAATTGATGAGCTTCTGTACAATCATAGTAAGGGTGTTAATCACATTTATTTATCATGCCAGTGATATATAGAAAAAATATATATATTTATATTTCGCTCATCTCACTAGTAAATAAAATGACAGAATATGATTTATTGTTTGTGCTTTGACTAAATAAATAAACTGTTCAATCGAAAAAAGTATCTATTGCTTATTCACTACAAAAGATAATATTTTTCGAGTGTACTTTTGATGAGTAGATGTGATAAATCACTAATTTTTGCCTTTGTTAAGAGTTAAGTAATCTTTAGATATAGATATAACTAGGCTGAAGATTGTTTTTTGAATAAAGTTTTGACAAATCCTTGATTATGACATTACATTTCACTGTTTAAAATGTAGTACAGTCTTGAACCGTATTTAGTGTCATTCACATATATATTTGCTTAATTTATTGTTTTACAAACAAAATTCTAACTTTTGGATATCCAAATACTCCTCTAGCTTCAATAGTTCTCCAGCAGACATAAATCGTAACGAAAGATATTTTCATGCTGCTATATCCTTTACAATTACCTCAACTAGACAGTATTCATATGCTCACTGATGACTAGCTTCATGATTAATTTCATACAGTCTGTATTGAGGTCATCGGCTTTGCATGATATCACGACAAATAGAGGATTAAATAATATTTCAACTACGAGCTTCAGCTGAAACCTGTCAATCATGATTGTTTAGTAAAATATCATAAACCAAATCTTTACTAAGGATACAATTGTTATTAGTTTGTGAGTTATTTTGTTCTACACATACCATTATTCTAAATAAATAACTGTTTAAATAAAAGTACATGTTCTATTGGCATTATCTGTTAAGCGAAATGAAATTTTCGATACTGATATTTGTAGTTTGATATAGTTTTATTCTAATCACTGAAATTTCAAAGGAAAGAATATTTCACTTTCCTCATAGTACTGACGCTTATTCACTCAAATGATTTAAAACACCGCCAGAAAAAGAATCACAAAAGTATTCTTTAATGATAATCAATATACTTGTTACAACAATATGTGATATTTTAATATTTTGGTACTGCGGGTGAATTACAGTGAAAAGCTCTAGCTCCTGGTGAAATGACTGAAAACTTAAGTAACCAACTAAGTTACATTTTTCTGAATCATCAGTCGTAAACCGATATGATTATTCCCAATTTTAATAATTACAATCCGACACAATCAACAAAAAATATTTGATACTATGAAACTTCAGTAGTGTGCTCGGATTAAATCACATAGGACAGGAATAAAGATATCCATAAACTTATTGAAAAACAACCTAAGATAGAAAAAATGAAACGTTTCTAATATTTTAATGAATACAAAATCAATATTTAGCATTTCATGATCTTTTGTCAGTCATTTATCTAGAGATTATATAAAAGTGACCTCACTATGTCAAAATTTAGTGTTTGTTCATTAAAAATTTACAGACATATCATTTTTATTAAGAACAATCTCCAGAAAACTTGATATTCCTAAAAACAAATATTCCTCTACTCTAAAGGTTAATTTACATTAAACAATAAACAAAAATTTGAACATATTTTATTAAATATGTTTTTACAATTAATCATATCATTGAATTATTTCACTTACCAAAATAGTAATACTTGATGTTACCAAAAAACTATTTAAAACAAAGAATTTTCAATTTTCTGTTCTAAAATAGTTGCCTTTTCGGTATTTATTTTAAGAATAATGAGTAAAATTTAAAATAGTATCTACTTGTTTATTGGTCCATTATAAATAAAACTGGAAAGTTGCCTAATTTTTATTGGATAAAAGTGTTTTTGCTACTGTGAGAAATCAGTAACCATTTTTTCGGATTTTCAATAAAGATCGTTCTAGATTAACTTATTTGTTTTATTACTGCATCTCAATTCATACTAATTTTTCTGTTATCTTAGTAGATCCACTTACATTACCATACAGAATTGTTTCATATATGCTCTAATAATTTCGGTTAAAAACATGGTGATTAGAAAATAATTCAGCATACGTTATTTACTAAAAACGGTTTTTCATGTAGTCCTAATTCAATCTTTGTTACTAAGTAACAGAAGCCAATTTATGAATTAAAACTCCTTGACATTTTTTAAGACATGGGGTCGCATTATTATACATTTGATTAATAAAAATTGGCAATAAGTTTAGTAAATTAGTTATCATAGTATCCGCTGGTATACACTGTAAAACATATGTAAAAGTTAAAAATTCTCATTTTGTTAAATGTTATGCGTTTGATGTAGGTTTGTTCTCTGAGCTCAGAGAACAACGTAAACAATAGTCGTGTAACCTTGAGATTCAGACCTAAATTGGTTGGAACCAACCATTGAAAAAACCTGGACATACGTTTCTTAGTAAATACTACTTATGAACAAGATATACCTCCAATTTTGAGAAAACCCAGTCTGCACTTGAGGGTTAAAGTGTGAAACTTTACTTTAATAGATTTATCACTGTTAGACTTCAGTATCTTGACTTGTGAGCAGATTGGAAATCATACTCTTAATGAATATATATAATTTAATGATAATCTTATCCTTGGTCAATACTTTATTGTTTTAAAATATGTTACAAAATGAACCTACATTTGAAGCGATAGGTACTGCTTTCAAACCAAAGAGTGAATATCGACATTGGGATGAAGGTTTATTCTACAGACAGGTTTCGAAATGTACAGAATACTGTTTTTCGATTTCACTATTACTTAAAAACCAAATATACCGCAGGATTTCAGTCAAAGAACAATATTTAGGGATTTGCTCAGCATGCACCTATACCAACAGTGACCGAACACTTAAAATTATGAAATCTGCAACCGTAAAATACAAGCATTTATAAATAAATGTCGAATTTAGCTTTTTGAATTCATATTGGTAGTAGATTATGGTGTCATAACATAATTATCAAGATATTTTATTAAAAACGTCATTTATTCTATATATCAACCATTTCTTTTGCGAAATTATATGTCACAGATGTTGAACAGGAGTAAGTTTCACCTGTATGCACATGTTAATGAACAGAAAACGGCTATGTTCCCTGGTATTTATGTACTTATGTTCTACGACTAAATTCACTAATCTGAACAGTCCATAACATAGTGCATTGGTTCGAAATGCATATTCAATAACTGAAGTTCAAAAACTGTACTCCATTAAATAGAAAAGGAAATTAATAAGTTTGACGAGGATATTTTTATTCACAGGTCAATTTAAAAGTGATCATATTTGTTTGCATTTAATTACTGTACATTTTTGATAACCAAAATCTGGAACTTAAAAATAAAAACCATTATAGTTCTAATGTATATCTGCTATTAATATCGACTAATTATTTTGTAGCATCAATTTTTACATTAATGTTTGTTAAGGCATTTATATTAATTAACTTCTTCTCATCAACATCTCATTTATTAATAAAATAATAAAATTAAATTTATTTCATCACTGATATCTATATTTATCTCTTCAAATGTACTTATGTACTATATATTAGATTTTTGATTTAAAAATAAGAGTTTTTAATTTGTTAATTAATTTTCTACGAAACTGAAACTAGACATAGGGTGGGAGTAATAAACTGTTAGACATTTTATTTCTGCCTAGTACTACTACCACTACACATTCCTTAAACATGATATATGTATTGTATAAAATGAGAATTAGGAAATAATATTTCTATTTTAATCCTTTCTATTCCCTCAAGTATATAATTAGAAGGTAACTCTTTCATAAACTTTACAGTACAAATAAAGTTGACAATTTTTTAGGTCATATTATTAGTTAAGTGTTGAAATGAAAGGAAAATATTATCATTTAATTTAACTTTGACGAATAACGAAAAGAGTAAGTAATTGTTTACACAAATTTGAAATAATTAATTACATAGTAGCTTACTTAAAGCGACTGGTTAACAGAAAGCTTAATTCAGTTCAACATTTTATCGATAGTCTATCTTGATCAATTTTACTGGTATTTTTCGTATGAATTTTATTGACGAACGAGATATGCTTACTTAACGAATTAGTAATTAAATATTAAGTGTCTACATGAGATAAATGAATTAAATCATATCTGAATTATACGCATTTATTATGTACAGGCTTATATGTTCGATTTCAAACCACACTTAGTATGTGTGGGCAGGAGAAACTATTGCGTTGTCTAAACCAACGTTGATGCTGCAGAGTTTAAAAGTTGAATGTTTTAACTTCTAAATACTTTGTATAAATCTCAAAGTCATATCAGTCCCTATAATTACGAAAGCTCTGGAATATCTATAGGAAAATTTCCTAGTTTAATACAAATAGGAATGATAAATACTCACTGAAATTGGCATACTACTTTGAAGTATATCCGGATGTTCTTCTTGTTTTCAGGTACTTTTCATAAAGATCTTCGACGTAAAAAAACAAGTCTTTCATAAACACATCAAAAGTATATTTCGTATTGATATGTAATAAACTTTCTATTTAAACAAATGCATTTTAAGTATAATAAGGTAAAATATCCAAAATAATTCACTAACTTGTAATAAACAAAACCTTTAAATTTTTGTAGAACTGAGCTACCGCAGCAAATCTATCCGCTACCAATATTTTTCCTCAATATAATAGAATTTTTATCTTGAATTTTATTTGCGATGGAGCTTGAACCGAAAGATACTATATTCATGTTCTGATGTCCCTATTAATACTGGGATACTAGTACATCAACCCAACTAGTTCCAGACAGGACGAAATACGCTTTCTGCATTCTAATGCTCGCACAATTGATATATTCAATATTATGTTTGATGTTCCATAAAATAAAAATATCACAATGTTTTTTAACATTTGATTTGTGTTCGTATTTTAAATTCTAAATTCAATTTAGGTTGCAATGTGTTGTCTGTTGATGTAATATGTTTTTCAATACTATGAATAATAGAGTTGAATCACTTAATTTCTTCGGTTTTATAAAAAGTAGTATAGTAATTAGTAACAACTATAAGGCATATATATTTAAACTAGGTGAGTAATGTTCCGCATTAAGAATATTCATACAGGCAACGATTACTAAGTTTTATTTTCCATCACGTACTTAATTGGGATGAGAAATTTGTGCACATAATTCACATCACAGATTGAATATAATCATGAGGCCACTATTCACTGAAGACCATTAAACAAGTTCGTCTCTAATGACTAATGTAAGATTACATCATGTCCAGTACTTACCGTTTCAATAACATTCTTGTTGAAGTTACTTAACCGTGTAAAAAAATTATCAAATATTCTTGAATGATAAATCTCCTAATTATTACATTTTGTAATTCTGAGTCTTTACTGATTGCTTACTGGTCGTGTTATGTAAACATATTATGTTTTGTTTTGAATTCAACCCTGACTCACGCTGTTGAAAGCAAAAGGTATTGAACAACTTTTCCGTCACATTATGAGCTTCTCATTAGTGTGCGCCTACATCCCCCCCACACTGTGGTTGTTTAATAAAAGTTAATAGATGACGTAAATAGTAAGCTTAAATAAACCTTTCATTCTACCTTTCATTCTGCATTGGTAATCAATGTTGACCAGCGGTTCATATGTCCTATTAAGGAGCAGTGTGTTGGACTTTAGTATTCTCAGCTGAGAAATATATTACCGATGAGAATGAATAATGGTTGTCCAATATTATAAAATGGTTGAAACTAGAAATGTGGACTTTCAACCTTCAACTTGGTGGTTTAAAGCCACTGCACTCACCAGCAGACCTGGAGATTCTCTGTTTGATCTCTGCTCAGTCACACTTATACGCAGCCGACGATTCTGAAACCGAAACGAAATCGCCAACTACTGGTTTTCTGAACAACGTGGATCTACAACTCAAACTACTTATAATTTTCTATTCATTAAAAATCTAACATAATTCTCTCTGAGAGTCAGCTATTTTATTCAAGTAAACTAACCGTAATAAAGTCGTTCAACTCAATAGAAAAATGTCATGATTTACTAGTGATGCTTGATGTTCCTCCGCCATATAGTCTTCTATTTTAACTCTGATAAGAGCAGTTTTATTGCAATTAAAACCTCTAAATAATATGCAGCTCTGTCGATATCGGTTACTTAGCCGACAGAAATAGGTCATTTAAAGTGGTTTATCGTATTCTTTTAGTTTTCCTTATGGTGTTCGATATCGTCTCTTGCATATAGAAGAAGCTTTAGAGATTCAAGTTTACAATCCAAGTCTTTGTATCTATTAGAAATCTTCCTTGGCCAAATTAGCCTTAATAAAAGATTTATTATTATTATTTTCCATGCTCTTTGTTCGCCTATTTTCCTTTACCCGCTTTTTTTAACAGAAATTTTCTTAACATTTCTTGTTACGTAATCTTATATATCATTTAAGCGTTTATTTTTTTCAATTCATTGACCTAATTCGAATTATGAAACACTAATTCAAGCCTTTATTATTCAAATTACAACACACCATCAATTTTTACTTCATAATAATTGAATGTGAGGTTGAAAGAACACAAACATTGTTTGAAAGTGTTCCCGAATACTCGATTGATCTGAAGAAGTTTGACAGTAGGTCGGCATGACGTTACAAATGTTAGAAACAGGACACAAGATCAATTTTG